TAATCTTACTCTCATGGAGGGTTGAGGTTGTAGTTGATGGTCTCTTAAGTTTTTTCTGTCTTTTCGGCCTTCCGCTTGTTCCTGGACTGAACTAGTTGAAAGCCATCCTCTCCATTGGTGTCAAGATCAACACCATAGTCACCTGGCTCACTCAGTGCATCAGGAGAGTTAGAGCGAGTAACTGAGTCTCCAGTCAACTCAGACATGGTGGAGTTACAGGTCTCGACCTATATGCCTACGTAAGAGGGCCGAGGACTGCTTGGCACTCCTAGGAAGTCAGCGGTGGTTGGGCGGCGTAACCCTCCTACAGGACAAGGGAAACTGGCATCTACAGCGTATTAGCGGTGTGAGGAGAGGCCGTGAACGGGCCTCCCGAGAGCAGAGGGAGTGTGGTGTCAGAGGGACCAAGGTAGCAGGAGTATTCTCAGTTTATAAACAATTTTATTACGCTACACTTATTCTTAATGGTATCTCTGTTTTTCTGGTTGATACAGTATCAAAGTCAATTTTAATTTCAAAAGAACTATCCAGCCTGGCACACTATGAGGAGGGGGATTTGTGTAGACAAACCCTCACCACATGGCCGAGCGTGACCATAAGGTAGTAGGCCTGCCTCGCGGGCACCTACACACGCTGCAGTGCTCAACCCACACGTTAGGTTACTTGTTATACAGGCAACAGATTTGCAGTTGTTGACCTATCGGTTAAGCCGTTAAGGTAATCCTCCAAGTGATAGTCTTAGGAAGAACACCTAATATTCTGTAACACCCAGTGAGAATCTTGCTCCTCAAATCCCAGTGTGTACCACTGTAATCTTAAAAAGATCACAGGTGGTCCACGCACACAGCCCTGCCCACACACACGCTGAGGGGAAGTGAGGAAAGAATGATGTACTATAACGGGTTATTCCAGTGTGACCAACATCCACAGAGAAACGGTGGACACCGCGGGCAAGACGGTCTTGCCCGCGGTTCAGAGGATGCCAAATCCTCCGAGCATTGCCTGTTAAAGTACCTGTAAAAGAGAGAGAGTGTAAAGGCCTGGGACTTAGGGATAGAAATCCCTTACCAGGCTAATCGGGATCTTAATAAAGGAAAGTCAAGGACCATGGTTTTCTGAGGAATAACAAACAACCGTTAGAGATTGGCATCTCTTTACTATAAAAATATAACACAAAACTCTGACACCACTCAACAAACCTCAAATAATTACGGGAGTCAAACAATTAAGGCAGTCAACAGTTAATGGAGTCAAACAATTAATGGAAGCAAACAATTAAAGGAATCAAACAAATAATGGGAGTCAGCAATTAATGGATTCAAACAATTAAATGGAGTCAACAAATTGATAGAATCGAACAATAAAGGGGAGTCAGCAATTAATGGAATCAAACAATCATAGAATCAAGTTATGAACAAATATTTCCTACGGCAGTGGCCCTGGGGGAAGGTTTTGGAACATGGTGATGCACACTCAGGGTAGAGAAGCGTCCATTCAACTCCACACTCGAGGGACGTCTTGAAATGGCAGGAGAACACCTGGGCACAGACGGAATGTGAGGAACTGACGGTCGGGGTATGCGGTAGTGGTAGATGACCAGAGAGTTAGCAGTTGATAGGTGAAGGTCTGGGAACACAGCCCACGAGTCCAGGACCTATGATGAGATCACAGCCAGAATTTGACGGACAGCTGGGTAGCTAGATAGTGACTGTATGGCGGCTGGGTTGAATCTCCAGGTGACCCAGATAGTCGCTGCCGTTCTCACCTCTGTCCAACCACCCCAAGTGTCGTCTGCACCAGCAAACAAGCGAGTTAGCAGCGGGAACCAGCCTGAGGATCGTTTCCGCCCTTACAGAGAGTGAAGTAATATTGTGGGGAAGAGAAAAGGAAGAGAGATTATCAACTAAATGAGGAGAGTTAATAAGACGAAATGCCTTTGATTTCACCCAATCTAACAGTTGGACAGAAGAAGAACCACGCCAAATATAAGAGCAGTGCTCCAAGCTAGGAAGAATGAATCTCTTGTAAACTTGAATTAACTGCTCAGTAGTGAAATAGCTACGGCATCTGTACAGCATTACCAACTTTCGGGAGGCAGCTTTAGCAATGTTGAGGATGTGTGGCTTCCATGACATATTACAGGAAATGGTGAGGCCTAGCATATGTATTTTAATTTGGCAGAATGATTGCGTCCTGAAATGTGATTGGTGGAAGATCATCTAATTTGGAAAGTGTAATTGGCAAATACTAAGTTTTATTACTATTGAATTTAACCAAGTTTCTAACTCCCCATTCGGAGATGCTACACAGATCCGCATTGATAGATGAAATGATATCAGCTCTAGAAACAGATCTAGTTTGAGAATTAAGGAGAAGAAAAAAATGTGAAGACGAGTGAAGAGTAGAATCATCAGCGTAAGAATGGGTAGAATTAGTCGTAATGTGAAGTAAATCATTGATAAAAAGAAGGAAGAGAGTAAGTGAAAGAATAGAACCTTGTGGGACACCACTATTGGTAGAGAAAGAGCGAGAGATCGATCTATCGACAACAACTGCCATGGATCGGTTATCAAGGAAGCTAGAAATTAGAGAACAAAGTGGGGGAGAGAAACCATAAGAGGGAAGTTTAGAAAGCAAAGACGTGCTATACCCTGGCAAATGTTTTGGAGATGTCGAGGGTCACGACGAAAGTTTCCCCATAATCCCTAAGAGAGGATGACCAAAGATGGGTGCCGTAGGAGAGAAGATCACCAGTAGATCTCCCATGGCGAAAGCCATACTGGTGATCCGACAAAAGAGAAAGTTGTTCAAGGTGACGGAGAAAATGAGAGTTTAAGATAGTTTCGAAAATCTTAGAGAGTGATGAACCTAAGGTAATGGGGCGATAGTTAGAGGGATTGGATTGGTCACTCTTCTTCGGGATGGGCTGAACCGAGGTGTGCTTCCAAGAAGAAGGAAAAATTTGGGTTTTGAGGCAAAGGCGAAAGAGGCGAGTAAGCACAAGAGCTAAAATTTCAGCACACTCCCTCAGAACACGAGGGAGTATTCCGCCCGGTCCATGCGCCTTACTCACATCCAGCCTGGAGATTATAGGAAATTGCATAGGTTCATTAGGAGGAGCAGGAGTATAAGGGGTAAAGTTGGAATCATATAAGATGGAGTTAGAGGAGAATACGGTGCCAAAGAGATTGGCTTTATCAGGGGGAGAGTTGACTATAGAGTTATCAGGGCGGAAGAGGGGAGGAAAAGAGGGAGTACAGAAGTTATTACAGATCTTTTTTGGTTAAGGACCAGAAGGATTTGCTTGAAGAAGAGTTACAACGATTCCTAGAAGTAATGAAAGAGGATTGGATAATAGGAGATAGTTTCATAACTTGATACGCCCTCTCTCTCTCCCTACATGCAAGAGAACAGAAGCGATCAAACCATGATTGTAATGTGAAAGTTTTGGTAGAAGATGGGATAAATGCACTCCTACCACCCTGTATAACCCCTGCAATGCTATCAGCACATACCGAGGCGTCCCGGGTAGAAAAGCAACATTTATCCCAGGGAAAGTCGGAGAAAATTTCTCACAGGGATTGACATTTTGCCCTCTCATAATGCCATAGTTGGCGTTTAAAGGGGGGTGGGAGAGGTGATCGTGCCCAGTTTGATTTAATAGAAATAAGATTGTAATCAGAAGACCCTAAGGCGGCAGAAATTGAGCATGAGTAGTGTGAGGGGTTAGAGGTAAAACAAAGATCAAGGGTGTTAGTAAGCTGATCGAGTCGATCTAGAACAAGTGTAGTGTGTTTAATTATTTGTTCCAGATCATTAAGTAAGGAAGAAGATAATGCCTCAGCTCCACCTTCGTCATCCCTTGTGATGTACTTTGAAATCCCCTAGGTAGAGGATCTCGGTGTTGGGGTGTGTGGATAGCAACGACTTAGGGCAAGAAGTGAGATAGTCAAAGAGTTCAAAATAGTTGGTAGAGTTGGGAGAACAGTAAAGGAAACAAAGGAAAATAGTCACAGTAGGTAGAGATATTTTGATCCATATGACATAATAAAGATAAGATTTAATATCTGTGAGTCGAGTTAAAGGCGTTCGTATGCTGCAGTAGGCACATACACCTTAGAACGGAAAGAGCTATAAAGATTGTAGTTGGAGACTTGAAAAGGTTTGGGTAAAGCTGCTTTGATCAGTTGAAGTTCAGATAGTATTAAGAGGTCGGAGAAGAGGTTAATAGAGAAGAAAAATTGGATCTCAGGCCGCGAATGTTAGAAAAATGAAGTGAAAAAAGTCTATCCTCCAGCAACCACAGTGACGTCATTTGAGGCCCCAATAGTTTGATGATAATCAGGTCGACCCTGGGGTCTACAACCTTCCCGACCCGTGGGACACATGATTGTCAACTGGTATCATAGGAGAATAAAAGAATAGAAAGAATAGAACAGATCAAGAGTGAGAAAGGTTATATATGTTGTGTTGTCACTAGTAAGAGAGACAATATTGAGACCCTGCAATTGTGTGTTAATGAGGCAGAAAGACAGATCAGCAACCTGGGACTTGGTCACAATTTTCATGGTGCCATATGGCAGCAAATTCTACCATTAGACAACACATTATGCTTCCAATATCTTTCCAGGTGGTAGTACCTCCCTGTTTGGTAGCGACCTACAGTACTACCTAATGATAAACTTCCTGCATGCTCATGTTTGAAATAATGAATGTATGCATCTTTATATAATTTAGGTAAATGTCTTTCTCGTCAGAAACGGTCATCCCAATGATTATGAAAACACTCATTTAGAAATACATCATAATTTCAGGATGAAATCGGACAAATTTGCAACAGCCAATCAGCTGTAACTCTTGAGGAGGGGGCGGGACATCTCTTCTCAGCTGGGAAAAAACGCACTATAGTGAGGGCTTAACTCTTCCTGATTTGGTGAGTTTCTACACTTTGCTGCATACTGCCTGCATGGCACCCAGTCAGTGTTTCATTCTTCTTCCAGTTAATAATGAGGTCGGCACACTTACGCTTGGCTGAGATCTACCGGATTCTCAACGATGAGGATAACGACGCCCTGCAGGAGCGCCTGGCATCCTGTCTGACAGAAGAGATGGAGCTGGTGTGTGGTGTGTGTGGGGAGCGTTACGGCGATCAGGGTGGCAACTCCCTCGACGCTCTCCCCTGCTCCCATATCTTCCATGCCAAGTACGTTACCAGAGCCCCACCTTACTTTGTTCAAGTACTCTTACCTTGCCTTACTCAAATACATTACTCTTACCTTATGCTACTCAAGTACACTTACCTTACCCTGCTTAAGCACTCATACTTTACCATGCCCAAGTACTCTTACCTTGCCTTACCCAAGTTCCCTTAACTTACCCTTTCCAAGAAGCCTTACTTTATCTTGCCCAAGTGCTCTCACCTAATGCAGTATACCCCATACAACCTGCCTCAGCACTCTTTCGATTCTGATCAACAATCCTCCATGACTGCACCGTGTGACCCACCATGTGTCCATCGCTAAGGTCATCATATCTGCAACTACTACGTCATCGACGCCATATTGGAAAAGTCACTCCAATGTCATAGCTGGACTCCATCTTGGATTTCGCTTCTATACATAGGGAGTGGCCGTGGCATAATTCTCGCCAGCTGAGACACGACTCCTCCACAGAACTCTACGGACTTCAAGACCAGAACTTAAATCAAGCCTTCGTACTAGGTATTTCACAGACATGCAGCAGATGTTTACACACAGTAACCATATTCTACAGCATTCCATCACACGTCAGACGTCGTAATAGGCTACTTTTTAATTAATAAGTGCCTTCCTTCATATATTACTGATGAAATATAAAATTGGTTTTTTCGCTTATTCATTTACTTATAATTTAATTCATTATTGTTTAGTATAATTTTGCATAACTGAAATATCATTTATAAGGTCGTTTAGATATCTGGATGGTCCGTCGCTTGTCACAATCTTCAAGAGTGAGGTGCTTCCCAGTATTGTCATCCTGTCTGGTCCCCGGTGTACGCTGGAAACTGTAAATTGATTGAAAATGTCCAAAGGAGGGCCACCAGACGGAACCTTGGTTACCCAGATAGACTGGAGCGCCTGCAACTACCTAGCTTAAACTACAGAAAGGCGAGGGGTGACTTAATCGAAGTGAATAAACATCGTAGGGGGCGCTACTTGGTAGATTTTTTTTTTTTGGGGGGGGGGGGGCACCCCCCTACATCCTTGTGTAAGGTGAAGCGCAGAAGCGTTTACAGCGCCCAACAGGGAAGCATGCTAAGTTCATGCTTGCCTTTATGTCTCATGAGTTAAGGGCGTAGAAACTTGAAGAGTCGAGGGCGTAGATGCCTGAAGAGTCAATGGTTTTATGTCGAAGCAAGTTATTGGAAGTTCCAACAACTTCTCCCTGAATACGAATTCGCAACTTTCGACTTACAGCAGGTGCCTACTTTGCTGCTAGGTGAACAGGGACGAAGGGGACTAGGAAGAGTGTCCAAACAACTTCCGCTGGCCCGGGAATCGAACCCGTGACATCTTGCTTGCGAGGCAAGAACAGTACCGCTCTACCACCAGCTCCCCACTTGGTTGAATGTACATACCTGGAGCTGGCGGACATCCGCCCCACAAGGGGTCATGGCTCAAGGTTGAAGAAGCCACAAGTCCAAAAAACTGTGAGGGCACTTTTTCGGGGTGAGAATTGTGAACTCTTGGAACAATCTGCCAGAGAGCGGTGTGACGGCACGGAGTGTGAGCTCATTCAAGGCCAGACTTGACACACTGGAGCCTGTTCCGATATATTCAGGAGACAGTGCATGCCCAATTCTTGCCAAAAGTGCATAACAGAGACGTGACCGACCACCCAAACAGTCTGTTCCGGTGAGGGTGGGTGCCACCACACTTGCCCTAGATATCGATAGGGGTGCATGGGCAACTGTACTCTCATTAGTGTCCTATCACGAACTACAGCGATGATCGCCTCATTGAGAATTTAATATTCTGAAACCAAAAACACAAACCTCGGACGTAGTACATGATGACAGAACTAAAAGGGTATGGCCAGAGTTATTCCCCAGGGATGTCAACGATATCCCAGACACATCTGCTCAAACCGCAAACATATCTAGTACATCAGCTGTGTATAATGATTATTGTTTAAAACTATGTTCTGCGAAACAATTGTAAGACGATGCCATCTCTTTCAGAATGGACTGGATCATAGCACTCTTACTCCTTTGTCACGCCATCATGTCGACGAATGCGTCCACAGAGGTTCTGAAGCCAGATGCCTTAGCCGCACCCTTTTAGTTTTGTCATCATGTACTACGTCCGAGGTTTGTGCGTTTGGTTTCAGAATTCTAAATTTGTTACCTTTTCCTTGGCGGTTATCAGGATGGACCTGAAAATTTGGGCAAAAGTTTGGAGATCCGTTCAGGGTTTTTAACCATGACAGCGTTGCCTATTTCTAGCGTTATAGGCTTAGCCTGTTTGCGTTGCTTGTAAATCATTTAAGCGCGTGTCGTTGCTAAATGTGTCCGTACTTGACCATGGGTGTCTGTGAAGACGCTGATTTGCTTTGTAGCGAAATCGTCCACGTTGTAGACAGTGCAAGGTTTGCCTGTAAGTACGTCATAGGGCAGACGTTTGTCTATGCAATAAAGCAATATAGTAGGTGTGATTTGCCTGTGGAGAAATTGATCTACCCGTTAAAAGAGGCTGTGACTTGAGGTAACCAATCCTCCCATGCCATTGTGCATTGGATTCACTATATGACGAAGGATCTTTAGGATTTTACGATTGGTGGATGATAAGCTGTGATAAAGCTATGTTGGATGCCGTATTGCAGGCATATTTGTGCTAAAAGTTGATTCTTGAACTCTAATCCGTTGTCGGAGAAAAGAACCTTGGGAGTAGTAAAAGGACATATAAGATGCATCACTAGGCGTGAGCCACAGATTTGGTTGATTTATCCAGCAGTGGGACTAAAATCACAAATCTAGAGAAATGATCGACACACACCAGTATGTACGAGGATCCTTGGTGACTCCTTGGAAGTTGAAACAAGTCAATGGCGACTGTGTCAAACGGACGTTCCGGTGTAGGATATTTGAGCATTGGCGCAGGGGGAAAGGAGGACCCTTGTGCTGCACACACGCAAAACATTTAGCAATGTGTTGCTCTATGTCTCTTTTCATTGTATTCTAATAATATTTTTTTCTGATTTCCAAAAGACATTTGTCACGCCTGGGATGGCCTGCTTGAGGTACATTGTGGTACAACGTTAAAGCAGTTGCACGAAGTGTATCAGGTACAACAATTTGCGTAACAATACCCTGAGCTGTCTGTTTTGGAGCTCCAAAAGTTGTTGGTAGCAAAAGTCAGAGGGGTGAAGATGACAGAGGAAGAAGCAGGGGGTAAGGAAGGTAATCGTAGTGGGAGAGATAGAGCAGTGGCTTTACACGACATGCGTTATATTCGATTTAGCGCAGAGCGCAGGAATTGGGTTTTTGTCTGTGTTGGCCCAACACATCCAACACTGTTGGGTGTGTGATCCTCGGGTCACCACTCCTCCGGATTGTGTTAGATACAAGTAATAGAAGCTCCAACAGCTTTCCCTGAATACGAATTCGCAACTTTTCGATTTACAACAGGTACCTACTTACTGCTAGGTGAACAGGGACCAAGGGGGCTAGGAAGAGTGTCCTAACAACTTTCTGCCGGCCCGGGAATCAAACCCGTGACATCTCGCTTGCGAGGCAAGAGCGGTACCGCTCTACCACCGGCTCCCCTTTGGAGCGATGGAGTATGTCCTGTCATAGTTCAGATTGAGTAAACGGAAGAGTAGAACAGCCTCCTCCCCGACTATAGAGCAAAAATGACTGCAGACCACAAGGGATCAAGTCGTTGTTCATCCCATAATTGCGAGAGAGTGAACGAAGATACAGGCGTCACTGGTGCTACTTTATGTTCCTGGACAAAGTGCCGGCGACTACGTTAGCTCGTCCTGGTAAGTACTTGTACTCGGGGGCGAATTCTTGAATAGTCAGATACCAGGGTGCTAGTCTGCATGAAAGGTTTATTCCGTGGAACAGCTCTGTTACTGCCACATGATCCTTATGTATTACTGAATAGCGTGTTTCAGCGTCATTAAGTTTACGGCTGGCGAAAGCAATTACTCTATATTTCCCTCGTGTGTCCAGCTGCATGAATACAGCTCCGAGCCCTTGTCCTGAGGCGTTGGTACACAGAGGAAATGGTTGAGTGTAGTCAGGAAATGCTAGAACAGATTAATTGGTAAATGCCGTCTTCAATGCAAGAAAACTATTCTCTTGTTCATCATTCCATACAAAAGTCACGTCATTTTAATTAACTTAGTCAGCGGCGAAGCTATCGTAGCATACCCTTTTATAAAAGAACAATAATATCCAGATAAACGATGAAATCTACGCACCTTCTGAACAGTTGTACAGTAGGACGTGGAAACTGTACAACAGCTTTGACCTTGCCGTCAACTGTATGAATTCCGTCTCCGTCAACTACATGACTAAGGAACTGTATTCTGGATTTTAAAATTTCACATTCAGAAAGTTTAACTTTAAGTCCCGCTGTAGAAAGTTTCTGGAAAACTTCATGGAGTTTGGCAAGATGACTGTCTGCATCCTCACTGACTACTGTACGATGAGATCACCTAAGTAGCCTCATACTGTGGTGCCTATTAAACCAGCAAACAAAGTGTTGACCATCCTTTGAAAAGTCAATGGCGCATTTCGAAGGCCGAAGGGCATACATAAAAATTCAAAATGGCCCAACGGAGTGCTAAAAGCAGTAATCTCACGAGATTTCTCATCAAGAGGAATTTGCCAATATCCGCTAAGAAGCTCAAGGTCGCTAAAAACAGCATTATCCTTACATAAATATTGCAATATATCGCTCAGGACAAGCATTGGGTACCTATCCGGGATAGTTTCTTCGTTGACGTGCCGAAAATCAATGCCTGGGCTCCAACTGCTATCCTTCTTAGGGACTAAAACAGTGGGCTATAAGAAAGGAGACTTTGAAAGTGTGGTAACTTCTTATTTCAGCATATCTTGAACCATGTCTTGTACTACAGCGCACTAGCTATGAGGCAGTCTGTAAGCTGGTATGTAAGTCGGATTTGTGTCTGGTTATTAAAGATATGTGATGCGAA